AAAATCATTGTTTGTCAATTTTGTTACTGCAATTTTGTTTTAAAGAAAAAAATTGTTATAATTGTCTTGCATTTTTTAATCAGTTCTGCATCTAAAAGTTGAAGTATTGTCATATATATATATATATATATATATATATATATACACACACGTGCACACACTAATAATAAATATTTTGTTCCTTTTGTGAGTTTACAATCTGCACCTGATAATTACCTCATACATGAGACTAGTGTTTTTCAAAATGGTGAGGAAAAGTGTATATTTAAAATTAGCATAAATTTTAGCTTTGTTATTATATACATTGACAATGGATTTATTACCACCACTTCTGCTCACAATGTGCTATTTGTAAAGTTTTGCTTAAAAAAAAAAAAAACAAATGAGTATACACAATGAAAAAAATACCCAAAAATTAAAAACAAAATTTTATGATCAAAATCTTTATTAAGAGGAAAAAGCAATCAACCAACTCAGTTTTTTTTTAATTATTAAGTTGTATTTTTTAATTCTTTTTAGAACCTTCAAAATTTTAGCTAAAAATTGTTTTTCTTGAGTCAATAGGGGATCATAAATTAGTAAGGGGAATTTGAGCATCTCTTTATAGTGCACAACACATTGATATATAAATTCTTGCAAAAATCAAATATTTGTCAGATTCTAATGAAAATCTGTAGGACTTATTGACATTAACTTGACTTAAATTATTTTAGAAATTTTTTTTTTTTTTTTTTTTTTTTAAGAAAATCTTGTTAAAAATATATTTCCTTTTTATTACATCTGTTACTTTCCCTTATTTAATTTGTTCAAATCTTGCCAGGACATGTATATTTTTCTTTAATAAGCTTTCTTGAATATTTAGGCTTGTAGGTGAAAAATAAATAAACAGAGCATCTACTCAAATATGAGTATCCATTAAAAATAATGTTTAAAGTAATAAAATCTGTTGGATTAATAAAAAAAATATCCGTTTTATATATATATATATATATATATATATATATATATATATATAAAATCAGGTAATCCCTAATTTCTTGTGCTTCTGGGAGATATGAATCAGATGACAGCTCAATACAGATAAGCTTGCCTCCAATATTTTAAAACCTCTGAATTCAAAGATGCATACAGATATGAACACCAATTCCACAGTTTTATTATGTCATCTATTCAGAAATATCTGAATATTTACACAGACATATATATTTATATGAGAGAACTAATTGCAGATTTTTTATCTAACTTGGCATCTGGAAAGGGCTTTACTTTGTGCATACTCTTCCATGATGTTACCCAGTTAGCAGTGTGTTACCATTGATTGAATTTGTATTGTGTGACCATTGCATTCACAGTCACTCAGCATAAAGTTTTGCTTGAAACTTGTACATGGATTTGTAGAAACCATTCTAATAAATAAGGCTTTCAGGAATGATCCAGTGAGTAAAGACCAGATTTAAAAAAAAAAAAAAAAAAAAAAAAAAGTTGGTACTGATGTTTGACTGAATCTTTTAAAAGCTATCCATGTTTTGGGAAGCCTGAAAACAGACATGTTGACTGTCTGGGATATTATTATAATAAAAATCTGCAATTAGGCCATTGAATAAGCAAATAATCTGGAGCTAGGAAGTGTTTTAACAGAGCACGGAAAGTGTGACACTGAAATCCAAATGGTGTATTGGGATAGACAAAGATACATTCCAAAAACTAAGCAGAGTACTAAGAAATAGAAAAACTTCACTAGAAACAAAGTAAAGAGTACTGAACTCTTATGTCATCTGTCCTCTAGTATAATTAGTGAGTGCTGGACAATCTTCACAAAGTTGAAAACTAGAAGCAACAGAAATGTGGTTCTACAGAAGGATGCCGATGGTACCATGGACTGAACATGTGAGCAATGACCAAGTTTTAGAGAATATTGAAACAAAAAGAAAACTTATACTTAACACAAGAAAAAGACAGTTGAAGTTTCTCAAGCACATAATGAGGAAAGAGGACTTGGAAAATATGATACTCACAGAACAGATTGAAGGCAAGAGAGACATAGGAAAACAATGCATAACATACTTAGTGAGCTTAAGTGCATGGCAAAACAAGATTTAAGAGAACAATTAAGAGCTACAGAGGACAGGAAGTTATGGAGTACCATGATTGTCAATGTCCTAAGGTGACACAGCACATAAAGATTTAGAATATCCTACACTTTTCAATATCTTCACTATCTATTCTTTACATCGCTTACAGGGATATTTTGGTGAAAGATTATATTTCCCAACAGTCTTGCTACAATTGCCCTTAAGAAGGCAATTCAAATTGTGAATGGGATTAGGAATGCAAGGTAACCTCTGGGGTCCCTAATGATGGCATGGCAGATCTTGAAAATTGGAAGGGATGTTGAATGTGAGGCTCCATGAACAGGACTATTGTGTCAGTGCTCTTTGTAGACTACATTTTCCTTCATACAGTACTTTGGTTGATTATCCGGACTTTAAATGAAGAGAAAAATGGAAATTATCCAAACATATTTCAATTATCTGAACTGGACACATTCTAATATTTCATGTTTGACATGCATTTTGAGAATTTAGAAAACAATAGTTGATATTTGATTAAAAACACTGATAAACTCTGTTCAATTAGTTCTTGTTAATTTCTTCATTTTCATGAAAAACAAAAACATACATTTTAATTATCACAATTTGGTCATGCTGGAGATTATGGTTTCCGTAACTCTCAGATTTGCATGACACATGTGATCTATGCTTCCACATGAATTTGAAATGGGGAAGTCTTTGTTTTCCAAGCACATAATAAAAAAGTTGAACTTGTAACCACTCCCCAGAAAATGTTGAGGAGTAGGGGGATGATGATGGTATTGCCCATATTGAAGTTCAGCAACACCTAATTTCAAATACCGAAGCAATGATTATATTTTACTAATGTTTAAGTTGGTTGCTCTTCCAATCAGAAGCCTCCCTAACAAATGCATCCATTTCAATCCAGAATTGGGAATTTGTAGAAAAAATGTGAGACCAGCTGGATACACACAATTGATGCGTTTTTCCATTAAAAATAAACTGGACAAGACCTTGAAGAAAACCTTTGAAAATGTTATTCGATGACAAATGTTTTTTTTGTTTTTTTTTTTTTTTATAATTTAGGTATTCAATTGTCCAGGATTTTTGAATTATGAAAACATTTTTTTCTTTCAGTCCTTGTTCCAAGATATGTCTGGAAAATAGAGAAAGTACTGTATTCAATGGTAGGATTATTTCTGGAGAAAAATTGGAGAGAGGAGAAAGTGAATTCATTTAATAATAATTTAAGATTTTTTTTTTTTTTTTTTTGTTTTTTTGTTAATTCTATTTCTCATCAGTTTCAAGCCAAGTGAACACTGTCATTTTTCCCCCACCACTTGAAAATGATTAATGATTCTTAAATTTACTTAAATAAGCCAGTCTCAGCACTTCCTGTTTGTCTGTCTCTATCCTACAGATCAGGTTTTTTTTTTTTATTTTTGACTTGTCAATAAAACCTTTTATCTTTCTACTCTAATGATATTGGTAAAACTTGTCTTTTCTCTTTATAAAAAAAATGTTTTTTTTCTTTGTTTTTTTTTGTGTACAATTATGTTTATTGCACAGTGATTGATTTGGTATTGTGTCTGTGTCTTAGTTGGCATTGTCACAACATTTCTATCCTTGGACTTTCTAGTCTTCTTCAGAATGTTTACTTATTTGGAAATCTTCAAGCCAAACCGTTTATTCAATCCTTGGAAGTAGACGCTCCTTTAGCAATCTATGCTGTCTACTCCTTTCAGTTGGAAAGGTTTGGTTCAAAATTCCTGTAAGGTTACCACAATGGCCGAAATGTTTTTGCTAAAACAATCGAGGGTGTTAGTCTGAGTAAATCTGTGTCTGATTATGATAATTTCTTTAAAAAATTAAGAGGAAAACCGAAATGCTTTTGTTTCTCCTGAATTAATTTTTAAACTCTTCTGAAATTGCAGCTATGGATTTATAGAAACATTTTCTTAGTACCACTTTTGCATTTCCTGTATCTGCATATTCTCAGTTTCCAGCTACATTAAAAATAAATCTGATAGTTTTAATTCTCTGACAATGTTTCAGTTAAAGTATTTGAACTTTAAGGTAATTCCTTTGATGATTGTTACTTTGATATTTTAATATTACCGTTATTCTAATTTTTGCAATTATAGGCAAACATTCTCTTTTCTAGTGATCATGATTTAAGCTAATGAACTTAAAATTAATTTATCTTGACTACATTCAAAAATGATTTTTAGTTTCACACTGATGGTATTTTTCTTTTATCATACATTAGTGAACCATTTGGTAATGGTGGTAATAAGCTCTTATTTCTCTTTACAGTATTGATTGTGGTTCCCTTCCTAACCTTTTCTTTGAAGTAGTGTGGAACATCAGCATCTTAATTATGTCATTTTCTCTTTGACTTAAATATGATATCCAGTTTATTTGTTACTATAGTTAAAAGTCCTCAAGTGATATGGTCTGTTATTTGGTACAGTCCTTTGTTTGTGATTCTGTAGCACTGGTCCACAGTGAACCAACTTTCTTAGCAGCTAACCTAGCAATAGATTCAATATAGTCTTTCCATGTAGTGTCAGCTGATAATGTTAGCAACGAGTTACTTTCCCTAAGAAAAAGAAAGTTGGTTTTTTTGGTTTTTTTTTTTTTTTTTTTGTTTTTCTTCCTTCATGAATTTTTATTCTTACAAGTGTATTTTTTGCAAAATCCAGTAAGAATCAATTCTACCATTTTCTTAAAAATTTGACAGTACATTTAAAAATTGAAAGGTGTTAATCATTGTTTGGTCTTTGTTTCCTTCTTTACAGATAAAATATAGATCTTTTTGACATCTTGTTTTCCTCTTGTGTCTTGCTGGCCAAAAGGGTGGTTTGATGTGTGTCTGTTGGATCAAATCAATTTCAATCCCAGCAGTGTCTGTGTGTGTAATGTACAATGTCTTCTATAGGTTTGCATTTTATTCTTTTGTCAGGTTGGTTTATATAGTTAATTCTGGCATTGTAATGATATGATTCGATGAAGTCATCAATTGTCAGCACTAGACACTGGGTATGAGTTGAACAGTGGTATATTTCTCTGCTCCAACTGGGTCGATAGATGTACATTAGATACTGACAAATCAAGCAATGAAAAACAAAAAACACATTCTATAGAAAAGCTGATGTAATTCTTACTGAATAGAAAATGCAATTTCAGAGCCAAGATATAGTCTGGAGCAGGTAATCTTTCACTCACCTCATGCCAGGACCAGTAGCATTAACAATATGGTATTCATTAATTTATCTTGTAGAAGATAAATTCACTTTATATGTGAATACCTATTTATTGAATTTAAAGCTCTCAGCTGCAGACAAAGGTATATTTGGTCCAATGGCTTCAAAACATAAGTAAATTTAGTTTTATTGAGTGGCTTGGACAAATATTCCATTATTTTGATAGCATGTGATTGTCTATGCATTCTGTCTTTGGCACTTGTGTGTGTGTGCGTGTGTCTCTCGCTCTCTCTATCTGTATATGTATATAACACTCTGTGTCTTTTTCGGTCTCTCTCTGTCTTTTTTGGTCTCTCTCTCTCTCTCTGTCTTTTTTGGTCTCTCTCTCTCTCTGTCTTTTTTGGTCTCTCTCTCTCTCTCTGTCTTTTTTGGTCTCTCTCTCTCTCTGTCTTTTTTGGTCTCTCTCTCTCTCTGTCTTTTTTGGTCTCTCTCTCTCTCTCTCTTTTTGGTCTCTCTCTCTCTCTCTGTCTTTTTTGGTCTCTCTCTCTCTCTCTGTCTTTTTGGTCTCTCTCTCTCTCTGTGTTTTTTTGGTCTCTCTCTCTGTCTTTTTGGTCTCTCTCTCTGTCTTTTTTTTGGTCTCTCTCTCTGTCTTTTTTTCTCTCTCTCTGTCTTTTTTTCTCTCTCTCTGTCTTTTTTTCTCTCTCTCTGTCTTTTTTTCTCTCTCTCTGTCTTTTTTTCTCTCTCTCTGTCTTTTTGGTCTCTCTCTCTGTCTTTTTTGGTCTCTCTCTCTGTCTTTTTTGGTCTCTCTCTCTGTCTTTTTTGGTCTCTCTCTCTGTCTTTTTTGGTCTCTCTCTCTGTCTTTTTTGGTCTCTCTCTCTGTCTTTTTTTTTTCTCTCTCTCTGTCTTTTTTTGGTCTCTCTCTCTGTCTTTTTTTTGTCTCTCTCTCTGTCTTTTTGGTCTCTCTCTCTGTCTTTTTTGTCTCTCTCTCTGTCTTTTTGGTCTCTCTCTCTGTCTTTTTGGTCTCTCTCTCTCTTTTTTTCTCTCTCTCTCTCTGTTTTTCTCTCTCTCTCTCTCTGTGTCTTTTTCGGTCTCTCTCTCTCTCTGTGTCTTTTTCGGTCTCTCTCTCTCTCTGTCTTTTTCGGTCTCTCTCTCTCTCTGTGTCTTTTTCGGTCTCTCTCTCTCTCTCTTTTTCGGTCTCTCTCTCTCTCTTTTTCGGTCTCTCTCTCTCTCTTTTTCGGTCTCTCTCTCTCTCTTTTTCGGTCTCTCTCTCTCTCTCTTTTTCGGTCTCTCTCTCTCTCTTTCTCTCTTTTTGGTCTCTCTCTCTCTCTCTTTTCGGTCTCTCTCTCTCTCTTTTTTTCTCTCTCTCTCTCTTCTTTTTCTCTCTCTCTCTCTCTCTCTTTTTTGGTCTCTCTCTCTCTGTCTTTTTGGTCTCTCTCTCTCTTTTTTTCGGTCTCTCTCTCTCTCTGTCTTTTCTTTTCTCTCTCTCTCTGTCTTTTTCGGTCTCTCTCTCTCTCTGTCTTTTCAGGTCTCTCTCTCTCTCTGTCTTTTGGTCTCTCTCTCTCTCTCTCTCTCTTTTTCGGTCTCTCTCTCTCTCTGTCTTTTTCGGTCTCTCTCTCTCTCTGTCTTTTTCGGTCTCTCTCTCTCTCTGTCTTTTTCGGTCTCTCTCTCTCTCTGTCTTTTTCTGTCTCTCTCTGTCTTTTTGGTCTCTCTCTGTCTTTTTCGGTCTCTCTCTGTCTTTTTCTCTCTCTGTCTTTTTTTTCGGTCTCTCTCTGTCTTTTTCGGTCTCTCTCTGTCTTTTTCGGTCTCTCTCTGTCTTTTTCGGTCTCTCTCTGTCTTTTTCGGTCTCTCTCTGTCTTTTTTTTTCTCTCTCTCTCTTTTTTTCGGTCTCTCTCTGTCTTTTTTCGGTCTCTCTCTGTCTTTTCGGTCTCTCTCTCTTTTTTTTTGGTCTCTCTCTGTCTTTTCGGTCTCTCTCTGTCTTTTTCGGTCTCTCTCTGTCTTTTTCGGTCTCTCTCTGTCTTTTTCGGTCTCTCTCTGTCTTTTTCGGTCTCTCTCTGTCTTTTTCGGTCTCTCTCTGTCTTTTTCGGTCTCTCTCTGTCTTTTTCGGTCTCTCTCTGTCTTTTTTTTCTCTCTCTGTCTTTTTCGGTCTCTCTCTGTCTTTTTTCGGTCTCTCTCTGTCTTTTTCTGGTCTCTCTCTGTCTTTTTTCGGTCTCTCTCTGTCTTTTTGGTCTCTCTCTGTCTTTTTTCTCTCTCTCTGTCTTTTTCGGTCTCTCTCTGTCTTTTTTGGTCTCTCTCTGTCTTTTTTTTTCTCTCTCTGTCTTTTTTTTCGGTCTCTCTCTGTCTTTTCGGTCTCTCTCTGTCTTTTCGGTCTCTCTCTGTCTTTTTCTCTCTCTCTGTCTTTTTTTTCGGTCTCTCTCTGTCTTTTCGGTCTCTCTCTGTCTTTTAGTCTCTCTCTGTCTTTTTTCGGTCTCTCTCTGTCTTTTTTTTCGGTCTCTCTCTGTCTTTTTTGGTCTCTCTCTGTCTTTTTCTCTCTCTGTCTTTTTTCTCTCTCTCTCTTTTTTTTTCTGTCTCTGTCTGTCTCTCTTTTCGGTCTCTGTCTCTCTGTCTCTCTTTTTGGTCTCTGTCTCTGTCTCTCTTTTCGGTCTCTGTCTCGCTCTGTCGGTCTCTGTCTCGCTTTTTCGGTCTCTGTCTCGCTTTTTCGGTCTCTGTCTCGCTCTGTCTCTCTTTTTCGGTCTCTGTCTCGCTCTGTCTCTCTTTTTCGGTCTCTGTCTCTCTCTGTCTCTCTTTTTCGGTCTCTGTCTCTCTGTCGCTCTGTCTCTCTGTCGCTCTCTGTCTCTCTGTCGCTCTCTCGCTCTTTTTCTCTCTCTCTGTGTGTCTCTCTCTCTCTCTCTGTGTGTCTCTCTCTCTCTCTCTGTGTGTCTCTCTCTCTCTCTCTGTGTCTCTCTCTCTCTCTCTGTGTCTCTCTCTCTCTGTGTGTGTCTCTCTCTCTCTCTGTGTGTGTCTCTCTCTCTCTCTCTGTGTGTGTCTCTCTCTCTCTCTCTGTGTCTCTCTCTCTCTCTCTGTGTCTCTCTCTCTCTCTCTCTGTGTCTCTCTCTCTCTCTCTGTGTCTCTCTCTCTCTCTCTCTCTCTCTCTCAGACATAAACAGGCTTATGTGGGCAAAAGATATTCGGATTATGTATACCATTAATATGAAACCGTAACAATATCCTTAAATCATGCATGAACCCCTAACAGATTTTCTCCACCCATTCCTCTCTGCTAAGCACAGGCAACTGCATATCTATATCAAGACTGCTCATGCAACCTTCTTCACTAGGGCCAGCTTTAAGCTAATTGGGCCTGTACTATGCAAATCTACTCTCATCTTGTTAAAATTCACTAAGTACCACATTGCATCTTTTATAGAGAACAGCAACAATTTTCATGTTTTGAATTCTTAGAAATGTCAGTTTTTAATTATACTGTTCATATTTTGAAATTATATTGTTTTTATACTCAAAATTAAATCTCTCATTTATAGAACAGTATAAAAATTTATTTCTCTTAAAAAATTTTAAAAGTAAAACTACCTTGGCTATGAAACTTGTGCTCCACAATAAGTTTCCAGTTGGGCCCTGCATCTCCGAAGGCTAACATTCAAGAATGCATTGATCAGGAAAAAAAAAAAAAATTTTTAAATCAATTAGGATGGACCTGTTCAAAATAACAAATACTTATTGTACATTTCAAGCTTTCAGTAACCATTCTCCTTTACATAATACCAGTTCACTGGATGCAATATCAGTTTACCCTTTTATTTTTAATGTTTATGTGTGGCAAAATGTAATATATTCTAACAGATAAAAGTAAATTTCTTGACCAGTTTTGATAAGACCAAAGAATTTTTTTTATATATTCTTGCAAATGTTTTTTTTTTCTTTTTCTTTTATGCTCTCATCCAGCTATTATCATTTGTAGCAGTTGATTAACATTTGGATCTTTAGAAATCTTTAATAGGAAAAGTTGCACTTCTCTGCAACTTGTCCTAATTTTGAATTATGATAAATAATTAAATGCCAGAAATAATTAAATTTCTTTATCGCGGATATTGTTTCATGCTTTTTAACAGAACAGGGATTTTCTTTGAAATGTTTTATACCTAATCCCAGAAATAGATTTTTTTTTTTTTTTTTCTGCATATATCTTATAAAAATTTAGATTTCTGAGATATAAATATTTTTAACAATTATTAAAGTTGTCCTTGTCTTTATCGCCACATTCACAATGTTTCGACTGTTGTACACTCAAGCATTAGGTGAGTGGAATTTCAAACCTAACTCTTTATTTCGCCCACTGAGGTAGATTGTTTTTAGTTCCATGTGCCATACGTCTTCCGGATGTCTCTGTTATCTCCCTTTAACTTAACTCTCCAAGTTTTTGCTCACCATTGCAGGTATTGAACTCATAACTCTTTTGGGTCAAGTTACTGGATCCAGAAAATGCTTTTTATTCACTGGGCCATGTGTCCTTGAGGACAGATATTTTTAACAATGTATGTAGAAAATAAAATACAAACTAGTTACATTATATCATTGCTGATCAGACCCTAAACTACCACCAATCAAGATGATGTTCTCTCGGGGAGGCCCCATACTTTGAGTAACTATTGGGCCTCAAACTCAACTTGTACATACAATCCATCACTAAAAATGCAGGGAAAATGGTCAGTTCCTTGTACTGCTCCAGTAAATTCCTAACTCCTTGTACTCTCTTCTACCTTTATAAGAGCCAGATCAGGTCTAAAATGGAGTACTGTGGTCATATTTGGACAGGAGCTGCCAGTCCTCAATTTCCAATTTTGATAGTCCAAAAGTGTTGTCTCTGTGTCCTTGTGGGTGACAAATTATTTTCCACTCTCCAATCCCTCTCTCACAGACGAAATTAGCAAACCATCTTCATTTTGTTTCTATTCCATTGGTGAGAAGTAAGCTCCACTCAAGCAGCAGCTCATGGACCACTGCTCTGGAACCAACTCCCAAGTGGATGTTTTCCTGATCACTACAATCTTAACCTGTCCAAATCTAGAGTTAATCGTTATCTTCCCCCATATATCCACATCAACTGCTTCAATTACTATGTAATCCTCTACCTTGAGTAGCTCCCTGGCCTTGGACAGTGTGAACCTCACCGTAGAAAAAAAAAAAACTTAATACATTTTTTTCTTTATTGTATAAACTTTTCCTTCATATTAGGCAGAACTTTTATCATCAGATTTTTCATAAAGAAAAATCTTTATTACTATACAACAATTATATACACACAGTGCTTTCTCTTTTCATTGTTTCTTGCAACAGTGAAGCAGCTAATTTTTGATTTAGACAAAAAATACTTGGGGGATATACAGACTGACTATATCATAAGAAATAAATACCTGATGCATACACGAACTGACATCATAAAAAAAAAAAAATAAATACATGGTACATCTACAGACTGACTACATCATAAAAAATAAAAAAATAAAATAAATACCTGGAGAATATACAGACCTAGTTTGTTTTTGTTTTTTGGGGTTTTTTTTTTTTTTTTCTGTTTTTACTGTGAGGTTCATCCTTTACAAGGGGTGGGGGCATTCAAGATAGAGGGTTATGTTTAGAGGCCATTTTTGTGTATAGGCATGGAAGATAAGTTAACCCTAGCCTTGAACAGGTTAAGATTGTAGTGATCAGGGAAACATCCAGTTGGAAGTCAGTTCCACAGGGCTGTGGTTTGTGCGAAGAAGCTTGGAACTTACTTCTCACTGATGGAATATTGAGGAAATGTGGGTGGCTTGCTACTCTGTAAGTGACTTGACATATTCGTGGTATGAAGATTTGCCTCGGTGGGAAAGAATAAATACCTAGCAAATATACAGACCAACTACATCATAAACAAAATTTACCATAGTCCTAGCATGACATGTTTATCATTTATGACTTTATTTATGAAGATAAAAGAATTTTGAACATTTTATTTTTATATTTTATCTTGGAAGGAAAGATTTTGTGTTTTGTTGAAAAATTGAGTTTTAGAAAACTGCAAGCACTTTTCTTCCAACCAGATATGAAAAAAATTATGTATCAAATTGAAGTTCTTGGGAATATTGCTCAAATAGTTTACAGCTGATGGTACTCTTTTTTTTTTTTTCTTTTATTCCCAGTTTCCATTTTAAAAGATTAAAACTGCAATCTGGTCATAAGTAGATCACAAATGCTGAGTTTTTGAATAACTGACTCAATTGCAAAAGTGATTTGATTAACTGCTTTTTATTATAACATTTCAAGAAATAAAATATTTCTCTAACGGATGAAAAAATAAAATAAAAACTCTCATGTCTATTTGAAAGCATAAACTGCTATTCAAGATGAAGAAATTGGTGCTTATTTCTAGCCTTTTGTTCTTTCATAAAATTCTTTAAATCATAAAGATGTTGGCTCTTGCTTGAGGTATTCTCGTGTCTTTATCATTTATTTGTATCTTTTACATATTGTGAATTCAGAAATATATGAAAATTTCAATTGCTTTTATAATGTTTGTGCATTACTTGGTAAATCTTTTTAAATTTTGTGAACTTTTTATTTTTTTATTTTTTTTAATTCATTGTATGGTAATATTAGCCATTTCCCTCCAAGGAAACATTTGACATTCATTGTCCAAGTACCCAGTACTGCTGTCAGTTGAAATTTATAAAATCTTTCTATGAAAACAATTAGGAAAACAGATTACATCGTATAAATTTTAATGGTTTAATATATTTTAAAATTATATTGAAAATAAAAAATGAAAAGCAACTGATTTATCATATGGGTCATAATTTCTTTTGAAAAGTTAACACTTGAAAATGAATTCTGTGAAAAATGAGAATAAATGTAAGTACTCAGAAATTATTTGAAAAGCAACTTACATTCTCAATTTATTTCATGGCATTGATTTTTGATTTCAGATTTGAGCGTTCATGTTTGCTAAAACTTTTTAAAACCTTGCCTTTGTCTTTTATAGATACAAGACTTTTTATGTACTTTTATTTATTGATTTTTTTATTTTTTTTAATCATTTCATCTCAATCAAGGCAATAAAGCAACTAAGATGCAATGGGTTACTGAGCATGAAAGAATCTGAGAAAAATCATTAAGGAGAGAGGACAATAAAAGAACAAGCTTCAAGGAGACATAAGATGACAATTGACATTGCATTTAAAATTTTGAAGATCAAAGTTGACTGGAAAGGTAGTTGGAAGAGTTCGACAAGTGTTTTTTTTTTTTTTTTTTGTTTTTTTTTTATTATGTTTCTTTTTAATTGCAGACTTCTAATTTGGTTGAAACAGTCAGGTATTTTGAATGAAGGAAATTTTTGCCTGGATAAAACCTTAATGTTGGACTTCAACACAAGCAAAGAACTTTAAATATCTCTTGTCTGTATCAGTGTACCTCATGCATTTGCTTTTATTCATCATAAAGCCATGTAAACCAATACACATGACATTTCACTACATTTTGGTATATTTTTTAGTGTGCTGCGACCTCTGATTGTGATCCTCTGCCGGGCGGTATTTTTTGCCGGAGGATTTCACTGGATATCTGTCAAAGGAACGAGGGCTCGTACTGAGGAGGCTCCAATCATAGCCCTGGCCCCACATTCTTCATACTTCGATGCCTTGCCTGTAGTATATCTAGACTTAACAACGGTAGTAGCAAAATCAGAAGCGGAATTGGTGCCCTTTTTTGGAAGTATGCACCTTATATTTTTTTTTTTTTTCTTTCAATTTTATCAACACCCCACTTCTTTTTTTTTTTTTTTTTTTTTTTTACATTTATCAACACAACACTTTTCTTTTTTTTCCTTTTTTCCTTTTTTTTTTTTTTTTTTTTTTTTTTTTTTTTACATTTATAAACACAACACTTTTCTTTTTTTTTTTTTTTTTTATTATATTTATCCACAGACCACTTTTCTTTTTTTACATTTAGCAACACCCCACTTTTATTTTTCTCTCCACAGTAGTTCAATGTTGTTGTCATTTGTTTTTGTTTTAACTATCATCATTAGTAGTTGTTGTCATCATCAGTTTTGGTAGTAAGATTTTTTTCTTTGTTTTTCTCAGATTTTTTAATTATATTTGCATATTTCTGTCTTTGTAACTTTGCAATTTTTTTTCTCAAGATCTAAAGAAAAACTGAATTATTATGAAAAGATCTTTTTGTGTTTGTTTCAAGCCTTTAAAGGGAAATAATATAAATAATTCTTTGCATTGTCTGTTACCATTTATATTTTCTGTTTGATTAGTTTCCTGCCGCCACTATCTTTAATCTTTTATTTCTTGTACTTTCAATGTTGTAGACTTTCTTTTAATGCCTGCCCACTGATTGATCCTAAGGCTTTTTTTTTAATACACAATTTTCTTTTTGATGTTCTATTTTTACCAATCTCTAATGCATTTAAAAATTGCACACTTTTTGTTTATAATTTTTTCCAATATATTTACTACACTTTTCATTTCAGATATGAAAGTTTTGTTTTGTTTTTAAATATTTTCTTCTTGAAATCTTGATCAATAATGAAACTGAAAAACTAAATGAAATCAATTTTAAATGTACTTTTTCAAACATTTTTATTGCAGCAATAACTAGTGTTTATTTTATTTTTAATTAACCAATCAAATATTAATCTTGATATTTTTTTTTAATTTGTAAGGTGGATATGGCATAAATGAAAACTCCATTTATTCAATCAGAACATTTGTTTACTAAAATAATTAAAATAAAAACATAAAATCAAATTCTAAACCAGTTTCAAAATGCCAAAAGCATATTGAAATGGTTTGAACCCAACTATCACCTCTTTTTTTGTCAGATTTTAGGAAGTAGGATTCAACACCTGCCTACTATTTGATATTTTGGTTATTTAGAGGCTACAGATTGATGTGCAAAATCAGATTTCTAGTCTGATATTGCTGCAAGTCTGGCACATGGCTGTTTGTGTGAATCGCTCAATCTCTAAATAATATTTTTATTTGTAGGACATTAACTGCATTGACAACATACAACACAAACTATTCATCAGAAATTGTAATGGGTATTTTATGATAACCAAAAGTGTTCCCGTCTTAAACCTTCATTAATTTAATTGTTGCTCATTGATATTATCATCATCATCATAGCATTCTGTTATTGCTTAATGTTTCTTGAATGCTATCCTTGACTAAAAGTCCTTGTTTACTCATTGTTGAGCTGGTTGTTTACAAGTGTTATTTGAGTCACCCCCAACACTGAAATATAGACTGCAGTATTGTACCATGGATATATATATATATATATATATATATATATATATATATATATATATATATATTTTGGATAAATCTTTGTATAAAAAGAAGTTATTCCTTCAGAAGTGTCCAAGAAATTGTTTGGATGTGACTTTCTTTTCTCTTCCATCTTTATTATTTTCTTGGTATTTTAGGAATCGTTTTGTTTGCATGGCTTTTTTTTTTTTTTTTTTGGTTAAGTCTCTGACCTTGCTCAGGTGATAATAAACCTCATACTTTATTTTTGCAGTAAAAACATTTAAAAAAAAAAACAAAAAAAAACAGTTGGTTTCTTAATGAAAAGTCTATCCATTAAATATAAAAGTAATGATAATTAAGTAAATGCATAGACAACACTGTTTTATTTCCATTTTTTCTTTATCAAACCCCTAATTTTCCATTCATTTTAACTGTTGCAACTGCTACCCTTTTTATTGTATTTTATACATTCTGTTAATCTGTTATTAGATCTTAGAAGGTATGATGCATAAAAAGTTTTTAGTTTTCCATAAAGCTCTTTACATAAAATCAATTCATTCAGTTATTGATTAAGCTTCTTTTCTCTTAAAAATAAATGGGAGAAATGATCTGGTAAATTCTCTTTTATTTGTTTAAAAGCAATTTTCTTTTTTTCTGTTATTTTGTACCAAACACCCACACTTTAAATTTTAAGCAGATAATTTTGAAAATTTTAGTTTTTGATTCATTTCACATTCTTCTAATATGTGGCAAACTATCTTGAATAGTTATAAATTTGTTTTGTGAAGGTTATTTTTTTTTTTTTAGGCTCTTTGCTTTCTTTCCAGTTCTTATATATATATATATATATATATATATATATATTTGTGCAGTAATCCCTCTTTTATACAGGTTTCATTGAAGATGACTGACAAGGCACTGCGATTAAGCATTTTATTGAATTTTTCTTGCCTTTGTAAAAGTGATTCTTTTCTGGACATATAGTGTATAAAAACAGTTCAGATGATAGATGTGAGTGCTTTTGACTAATCTATTAGCCATTATCAAGGATGTTTTTTGTTTATCTGAATATGTAGATTCACATGTAAATAAAATCTGTTAATTCCTTGTGTGTGTGTATATATATATATATATATATATATATAATTTTTTATAAAAAAAAAATTTATAACATAAATGTTATAAAGTCACTACAAAAATAGCCATTTTGTTTCAACACCCTCGGTGTCTTATCAAGTGATATTTTTTTTTTATAAAAAATAATTATATCTGCTCTACTTTGTATTGAGCACTTCTTTAAGAATAGTAATTGTTGGTTATTGGAATTCATTCCATATACACCAATTATATACTTGGAGATATATATATATATATATATATATATATATAGCATACCTGCAGCGATAATGTTTGTCCCCATTCACATAAATACAGTAGTAAATACTGTATGTTGGTCTGCAGTTAGATTCATTGTGGCATTCACTTGACTGACTTCTAGCAGTTGACTACTTCTACGCGCCGCTTGCGAATTTTATATGTGTTGTTCTTATTAACGTCGTTCATTACCAACCTTTGTCTGATTATTCTATTCAGTAACCTTCCCTAGCTTACAACAATTTGCAATCCGCCTTTTCTCATTAAGTGCCCTAGAAATTTCTACTGCACTTTTCTTATATTAAATGCAAGTGACATTTTGTTTTCATTTTCTCTCAAACTTCATCATTGTTTGCATGTCTATGGTATTCTCCGCATCCTTCTGTAGAACCACATTTCTGTTGCCTCAAGTCTTTTCTCCATCTCTGAGGTTGTCCAACATTCATTTCAATACAGTAGAACACTTCCCAGATATTTATATTTTTGTATTTGATTTTGCTATCCCGAATTTGTAATTCTTATATCAGGCTTTTCTTTTTTCCGATGACGACCATACAGTCTGTCTTCTAGCAATTGAGTTTTAGCCATTTTTTTCTCAGTTTCTTCCACTACCTTCTGTAGGCGTTCTTCTAGTTCCCTTTTTGTACAATCAACATTGTTGACTACTTTTACGCGCCATTGGCAAATCTTATATGTGTTGTTCGTGTCCTAAGTATTATCGTTCATTTCCAACCTTCGTTTGATTATTCTATTCAGTAACCTAGGTGACAACATTTTATATATATATATATATATATATATATATATATAAAAACTGAATGGGTAAATATAGTTAGGTATATGAGTGAGTGATCATATACAAATACATATAAATACTCTTTAGTGTAAGAAAAAACAGTGCTCAATGTTAAGTAACAGAGCTATTTAATATATAGTAAGGAATATACAATATGCACAAGATCTTACATTAATTGCACAACTCTGAGTTTCATGCTGAAGCAATTTTCAAGTGCTGGAATTATCTTTTTTATTTATATTTTGGGTTGACACTTTTTTTTTTTTTTTTTAAAGAGAATTCATTATACCTTTCCCAATGTTATTAACACATAAGTGAATGTAATGGATCTGACTGCCTTCTGATTTCTCAATACGAGCTGCTATCCACCATGCCTCCTCGGAACCTTTGGATATAAACTTAATTTACTCCAATTTAGCAAAATACAAAATGTTGCAAAGTTATAAGCATGACCTCCCTCTGAAAGACTGACTAAACATTGAATAGTTTTTTTTCTTCCTTTTTTTTTTTTTTTTTTTTTTCGTTTTTTGTTTAAAGCAATTCATTTAAAAGCAACTGTATGTAAATTTGACTAAATTTTAAGCTGTTCCAAAACTAATGTCACTGTTGCTTAAGCAACTGAAAGAAAAATTAAAAAAAAAAAAAAAAAAGCTAGTATTAACAAATGACTAAATACATATTTTCTACACTACTCAAAGAATTCTACCATTTTTATTAGTTACATTAAAATATTTGTTAAATCCAAGCATTAAAAAAAATATGAACTCTTCAGTTTTCATGTATGTCTATCCATGCTGATTTCACATAAGAGCCTGAATAAAGAGTGGTATTTTTTCTGTTTTCATTCTTTTCTTTCTCCACTCTCTATTTTGCCAATTCAAAAAAAAAAAGCATTTCTATCTTTTGATATTAAATCATCTTAATTTTGCATTTTATTTTTTGTTACTGTAATTTCTTTCTGTTACTAATTTTTTTTTTTCAGAATACTCACTTCTTTTATTATATTAAATCTTTGTTTTCTCTTTTAAAACAGTTCATTGATGATAAAATCCAATATGTTTGAAGCTTGGATATATTAACTGCCTATTCATTGCACAAGTCACTAAATTTTGTAGTTTTTTTATAAAATTAGATATTGTATATATAAATGCTTGAATTGATAAATATATTGTTGACCATGACAGTTTGTATTGTTCTCTTCATATTTGCTTCCTTTATATATATATATATATATATGTGTGTGTGTGTGTGTGTGTAAAAAGAAATTTACAATTTAG